CCCCCCCCCCCCCCCCCCCCCCCCCGTTAAGTTGCAGCAGCCACAGAGCTCCCTTTTACTTGGCAGAACAAGTTTTCCCTTCACAGTACAGGTGAGAGGGCTTTGCCTCTACTGTTGCTCTAGTAGTTTCTCTCCTCCCTCTGCCATCTCCACGATGGACCTCCATGCTCCACCTTTTACCATGTCTGAGTGCTCTTGGGCTCTCTGAATTCCAGGTAGATGCCCGTGCTGGGGCCACATTATGGAGACTAGAAGTCCCAGGAACACTGTCCTGAGAGTGCGTGTGTGATGAGCACTGTCCACTCTGCCTGTGCCACTGAGGCAGACGGAACCTCGAGGTTTGCCCAATTACAAGCTGCTGCCAGGGCTCTTGGACCCGTACCCTGTAGTGAGTGGGCAGGCCCAGGTGAGGACAGAAGGCAGGGGGAGCTGGGGAGAGAACTGACTCTGGCCAGGCTGGTGGTCATGATGGCTGGAATCACCCAGAGATGATGGAGCAGGTATCCATGCAACCTGCAGAGGCCTCAGTAAGTTCAGGATGGAGGGTGGATTCCTCACAAGGGCTGATCTCTTGCCTTTCCTTGTTGCCGTACACCTCCCCAGGGAGGCAGACTTTCTCAAGAACCCCTCAGGTGCATCCCGTGCCACAGCACTACAGGGCTGTGGGTGGGACTAGGCATCCCTGGAGGGGCCATTAAGTTCCTTAGTGAGAGAAGTGAAATTGTAGCTGGTTTGGAATTAATTCTGGGAAGAGTGTCTGAAAGCAGCACTTTCTTTTCTAGGATAAAGATAAAGTTTCTCTACCCAAGACCCCAAAGCTGGACCGCAGTGATGGAGGGAAGGAGGTGAGAGAGCGCACCACCAAGCGGAAGCTGCCCTTCACGTTGGGGGCCAATGGAGAGCAGAAGGACTCAGACACAGGTACTGGCCCAAGGCTACCCCCAGCCGTGTCCTGGTTCCCACCGAGCTCACTGTGGAGTCTGTCCAGAGCAGCTCTGGGTGCAGGCAGTGGGGCAGAGACTAACTTCCGGCCACTGCCTCCTCTCTCCTGCATTGGGGCCGCCTTGAAGCCCACTGGAAGCCTTGCCCTCAGCACCCTGTGTCATGGTGCTCCTGCAGGGTCACAGCGAGCAGAGCTGTGGGTGGAGGGAATCCAACAAGTGAAGGGCAGCCAGCCGTCAGGTGGGGAGCCCTGGCCTGTGCCCATGGTCCCAGTGGAGGCCTGAGACTGCCCCACTCTGCTGGTCTCTCAGGGCTTTGTAGCCCCATCGGGAGCAGGAGAGCAGAGCACCAATGTGACCTGAGGCCAGGGCAAGTTGCTGCGAGCGCTGGGCTCTGCCCCTGCATCCTCAGACTCCAGGAGTGCAGCATGCTCAAGATGGCAGGGCAGGAGCTTAAGATGCTGGGACAGGGTGAGCATATAAGTGTGAGAGGGCACCTGCATATACCTAGGGGAGAGGGTCAGGGCGCCCCAGGCCTTCTCCCACCTCTCCTGGCCTGTGTTTCTGTGTGTGCTCACAGGAGCAGGCCAGAGAGTGGAAGGGCTGGTCTCACAGCTGGTATGCAGAGGAAGTAGCAAAGGGTGTAGTGCACGTAACTCTTGTCATCAGCAGTGTGCTGGGGACAGAAGTCTGCACGGGTACTAGAAGGTGGCAGGGGGAGTGTTCCTCCCTGCATTACAGGAAGGAAGAGTAGTCAGAGTAGAGGGAAAGAGCCGCCAGCTGACCCCCATCGTCTGCCTAGAATGGAGAGGTGGCTCCCTGTGGGCTCCTGGGGCGGGGGCAGCTACATGCAGAGAAGATCAGAGCAGTCCCGAAGACCCTTGTTCCTGTCTTCAGTGCCCTGCTGATTTTGTCATAGCAGGGTGGAGCATTTGCAGTTGGCTCTTAGCCTTGGTAGTGGTTGTATGAGGTTTGGAAGGGGCCTCTAGAGACTGAGTTCTCCGCAAGTCTTGCTGCAGAAGCTCGTGTTGCAGGTGCTGCTACCTGTGCTTTGTGGCAGAGGCCTGGGGCTTATGGGAGGCGGTGCTTGAGCCCGTGACCCCGAGTGGTCCAGTCCTGCAAGTCTAGACGTTCATTGTCCCTGCAGTGTGGGGAAGAGACCTCCCCAGGGTCTCCAGAAGCTGCAGGGACCTATCTGTCCTTGGTGACCGTCTGTGACGTCAGGCTGGGGTCCTTGAGCACCACAGGTACACGAGACCGAATGTGTTCACTCTGCTTCCTTTCTCTGGCAGGCAGGGCCCAGTGGGCACAGGGCAGACTCAAACGGTCACATCAGAAAATAGGGACAAACATTTGAAAACCGTTGTTTTCTACCCATGAGTCCAGTATTGTGGAAATACATGGGAGATGTAGTTAGTGTTTGTGCTCTGAGATATGTCATCCTCTGGGAAGCTGATTTTGATATATAGCTTTGTTGTGTGTCTGCTTTGTTAATGTAATAAAGTTAGACTTCAGGGTACAGTACCGCCTGTCCTAGATCGATCAGCCGATTGAGGTGCTGGGGATCAAACCAGGGCATTGAGCATGTTAGGCCAGCACTCTGCTTCTAGTTTCCTCCTAGAAGGCTGAATTTTTAACCAGGATCCTCTCACACCAGTGGCTCTTTGTCCTCCTCCAGTGCCTTCCTTCCATGCTTACCTGGTCCCTGCCTCCTTCCCCTCTGCACTTGGAGTGCTGGACACCTGAGCTGGGCACTGATTTCACCCTAACCAGAGAGCCTTCAGGTTGCTCTGGTCTGGCATCCAGCTGCCTCTTCAGGAGGGCGAAGCCCCACAGTGGGCAAGGCAGGGAGATTTGTACAGTAAAGTTTTTTAATTTATAAAGAAAAGAGGTTTGTTTTGGCTCACAGTTCTGGTAGCTGGGAAAGTGCTGGTATCTGCAGGATTTTTTCTCCTGGTATAAGACAGACTGAAACACTCTTGTCCTTTGGCTGAGGGAGATGTGGTTTAGCCAGCCCAGGCAGGCCCTTCCTCCAGTCAAAGGCCCAGCCCCTTCCCCTACTGTCTCTCTAGCTCCCTCTGCTGAGAAGTTGCTGCCCAGTACCACCTCCTGCCAAAGGGGAAGTGGTTTAGCCCTAGAGTGCAGGGATCCCTGGGAACCAGCCTCCCAATTGGGGTTCCAAGTGGCTGATCCTGAGTCTCTCCGCTGTGCTGAAATGGCATGAGCTCTTCGGAGACCACCAAGCTGCTGCAGAGTGGCTTCCTGTTTCCCGAGCCCTGGTGTGCTCAGCCCAGCCTACAGAGGTGCAGCCTCCCGCTGCTTAGTCAGGGATAGGGGCAGTCTGCCAAACAGTGTGGTGCCGGTTGAGTCACAGCATGACCCGAACCAGGCCCCCAAGGTTGTATGTCCACGTGGTGCCTGCAGAGGCCAGGCCTGTGGTCATCTGGGTCACCCATGAGCGTGGGACATGGCTGCCTCTGTGCTTCTCCAGGAACAGGCTCAGGCTGCAGGCAGAGTGGGAGAGCAGGCGGTCATGTGCCCAGCTGCCAGCAGCAGGCCAGTTGGTGCTCACAGTGTCCTGACCGGGCTGGCAGAGAACAGCCTATGTGGTCAGCATGCAGGACCAGCCTCCCCTCATTCTCCTGGCTTCCTTGTCCCTTGTCCCTTGTCCCCTGCTGACAGGTCCTGGTCTCATGGATGAAATCACTCACATGAAGTCTGGTTCGCCTCAAATGATACTATCCTGCCCACGCTGTGTTTTTTAAATTTATCCCTAACTTTTAAAATCAGTAAATATGAGTTGTTCAGCCATCACTTTACCTCTGTAGGATTCACAGAAACCTCTGCCCACGATCGCAGGGTACCTTCCGAGAGCTGCCCTGTGGAACTGTCAGAGCAGGCAGCTGTCTGTGCTGTTCTTGGCACCAAGATATTTCTTAGGAACAAATTAAGATTTTCTTCACCTTTACTCTCATCCCTGATTGCTCTGTGGTTTCCTCAGCGTGTTGATGCCACACATACAGTACCATGTGTTCCGTGAGAACATAGCCACTCGGCTGCGAGTACAGCCAGGGAGGTTCTGTCTTACAAACCTGACAGATCTTTGGCTGGGAGGGCACCCCCTGCATGTGGCCTATGGAAGGGGTCCTGATGGGATTCCTGGCACAGGAGAGTTCCGTCTGCAGGACCAGGCCTGGCTCTGCTCAGGGCTGCTCCTTCTAGGCATGGCAGGGAAGAATGTGTCTCCTGCTGTCCCAGAAACCTTGGCGGATAGGCTTGGCGCAACTAATGGCTGGGCCTCGGCCACCAGTGGTGGGGCTGAGGGCCTTCCCCTTCCTGGGAGTCTCTAAGAAGAGCAACCAGCTGCATCCTGGGAAGTGCATGTTGCGAGGCTGGCCCAGAGCCCTGTAGAGTGCGGATCTGCCCTCTGCACGATGTGTTGAGGGCTCTGGGATTGGCCTGAGAATCTTCATGTGTCACTCATAAAGAGGAACCTCCAGACAAAATATTTTGCATAACTGAGGACTCTGTGGCTAGTCGCTAGTCTGTGGTCATACTGTTGCTCGGCCACTTGTCCTTTCCAGACTTAAAGAGCTCCTTCTTAAATAAAGGAGAGTATGGACTAGTAAAGGGGGGCTTTCTGCTTAGAACTGCATATTTCCCCAAATTCCAGAGGTCTTGGTCTCATAGCAGGCCGATAACATACTGTGAGCCAACTGGGGTCTACTGGACACCTGTCTCAGGGCTTTCTTGAACTTGTGCAGCGGGGACAGTCACCCCAGGGGAGTGAGGGTGGGGTCACAGCAGTGCTTCCCGGCCAGGTGAAAAGGCGAGCCGGCCCAGGGCAGGCAGCAGCTTGCGCATCCTGGCTCTGCACCGTGGATGGGGGAGTGTCTTTCCCGCTCAGCACTGACTTGGGTAGTCAGGTTGCAGTGCAGCACTGGGGCCTCAGAGCACCAGGTGCATGTCTGGACTGTGGTTTTATGTCTTCTGCCCTCTTAGCCTGCTTCCTGAGGATGCCGCCTCTCAGGAGTCTGGGACGGCCTGCGGAGCCAGGCCACTGTCACCCTCAGTGTGGAGACGGGGAGGCCAGCCTGCATATGTGTGACCCTTGCCGTGCTGCTGTTGAAGCTGAGGAGACCGGAGAGAGGGGTACTGGGGGCCAGAGCACACAGGCACAGGCTCCTGGCTTTCTTTAAACACTTGGTGATGGTAATGAAAGAAATATAAATAAACACAAGTCAGGAAATTGGGAGGACAGTGAGTGACTGCCACGGTCACAGGCATGGATCAGTGCTGCAGACTGGACTGCTAAGGACGTGCTCCCGTGGGCTCCCACTGGCTGTGCCCAAGAGGGAGCCAGGGCCTAGGTGAAACGGTGGCCCTCAGGCAGCTCCCGCCTGAGGACATTTACTGCCACGATTGAGGCTTGGCAGCCAGCAGACCTTGCCTCGTGACACTGAGCATCAAATACATGGCGGAAGAGACGTGCTTTTGAGGCCAAGTAGGAGAGAGAGGAGCTGTCAGTGGCATTGTCGCTCCTCCTTGCCACTTGGCAGAACAGCAGGAAAACTGCTCCCTGACACGTTTAGGGAGCTTTCTGCTATTTCAGAATACTGCCACATAACCACTCCTCTCCAGAGCAGATCTAGGGTGTACTGATGCCTCCAGATTCTGTGACAGCACAGAGCAGTCACGGATGTTTCTGTCTAGGAAATACGGTGGACTTTGTCTCCTAAACTCTCTATAGAAAACCCTAAAATTGGAGATATAAATGCAGAACCATGCTTTGAAATGAGCTGAGGTGCACACACTTAACAGTCATTGTTCCTAGCTAAGACTCTTCGTCTCTTCTAGCAGGTGCCGCAGAGATGAGAGGCTTTTGTGCCCAATTCTCCCTCCTCCGGGAGGGCTGTGTTCAGGTTTTGCTGCCTTGAGCTCCCTGCAGCCCCTGATCAGAGAGCCAGCGTCCTTGTGTGCAGAGTGCAGCTGGGTATGGGCACCTGCACAGAAGTATGGGCACCGAAGAAAGCATCCTGAGAGGCTTAGGAATGCCACTTGGGACTATTAGTTGCCAAGTGGGAATGGACAGAATGCAGTAAGAGTGAGTCTACAACAGGAACAGGAAATAAGCTATCAGAAAGGTCTAGCAGATTTTCAAGTAGCAAATGAAACATCTGAAAATGAAAATAGTAATCACTAAAACTAAAAACTCAGTGGCCAGACTCTTACGCTGCGTGAGATGCAACACAAAATAAGAATTAGTGAATTAGAAGTGAAGACTGAAGAAATTGCCTAGACAGCGGTATAGGAAAAACTGAGGTAGGAAGTGATGGGAGGGTAGAAGAGAGAAGGAGGCTTCACAGTGCATGGTGCGCGGCGAGTGCTGCGGGAGCTGGCGGTGAGAGGTGGTGTGCTGGTGGGGACCGCAGGAGCATGAGCAGCGTCCTGCAGTGTAGATGTGAGTGTCCAGGCACCACCAGGGAGGTCCGGCAGCCTCTGGATGCCGAAGGGCCATGGGGCCCACTCCACCCAAGCCCATCCCTGGCCCGCTGCCCAGAGCACCTGTGTTCCGGCAAGGCCTTCTCTCCGATGGATGCCATGACAGGAAGTGGGCTTCTGAAAACAGGAGTCACTCAGAACAGGCCAGGGTTGGAATCCAGCGGTGCTGGGCAAGGACAGGGTTAGGCCAGGTGGGAATGTGTATAGAGAAAAGTACTACAGGGCCGGGGACTTGGCTCCGTGGTTCCACTGCCTGCCTCTCAAGCTTAAGGGCCTGAGCTCGATACCAAGAAAGAAAAGGAAAGGAAAAGGAGCTGCAGAAGCTGGGCATGGTGGCGCACACCTGCAGTCCTAGCATTCTGGGAGGTTGAGGCAGGAGGCTTACAGGTTGGAGCCCAGCCTGGGCAACTTGGCGAGACCCTGTCTCAGAATTTAAAAAACAAACAAACAAACACAAAGCATTTTTAAGGGGCTGGAGGTGTAGCTCAGTGTGAAGACCCTGGGTTCATACTCAATTCATTAACTTCATTCTTTCCACAATTCTGGCCACAGCTGGGCCCTGTGGGTGTACCTGGGACTCTACATGGTGCTTGGTCACTTCCTTGGCTTGCTGTTTCTCACTGCAGATACTACTTGGAATTCATACAAATTCTACTTTGCTTCCCTTTGGATAATAGAAGTCAAGCTGCCAGGGAAACTCATTGGCTGTCCAGCCTTGGCAGGAAGTTCCTGCTGCTCCCTGCCTGCCTTCCCCTCCCACAGACAGGACAGGCCAGGGGCAAGGGACAGGTGTGGCAGCCTCCCTCTTCAAGGGCCATCCTTCCCTGGGCACTGGCTTCCCTGTGTGAACCATGCCTGTAGCACACTGAGGTTTGGGTCACACATGCTAAGACTGGGCTCCCTCTCAGGGGCTTTCTGTGCTGCCTGCCCTCACCTCAAGGCCCCAGTGAACAGTGTCTCAGAGTGAAAGGCAGCCCTTGAGGCAGGTGCTAGAGAACACTACCCTTGCGGCAGGCAGTGAGGTCTGATTTCAGGATGGACTTCGGTTGGGATACCAAACATACAGTTGAAGGGCAGGGTTAGCTGTGTAGGGTGTGCAGGGGCTGACACAAGCTCCTCCCCGGGGGGGCGCTGAGATTGGAAAGGTCTCAGTCTCCAAGCACACTCTTGGCTGAGTAGGAGCAGTGAGCTCAGCCCATCTTGCCCAGGGCTTGTGACCCTGCCTGCCTGCCATTCTTAGCTGTCCTCCAAGGGAAGGGGAGGGCTCTGACTGACCATCCTAGTTGACCTTCTGCAGGGTATATTCCCTTTGGGCTCTGTGCCTAAAACATTTAGGTATCTTAAAAATAACACCTGCTATTTGGCAGGTTGAGGCAGGGAGGATTCCTTGAGTTTAGGAGCTTGAGGAGAGCTTCCACAACATAGCAAGACCTTTTTTCAATAAAAACCTGTGCTTTGGGGTCTCTGGACAGCCAGATTGACAGCCCACTATCTGCACATAGCACAGAAGCAAGGCTGTCCCCTGGAGTGGTGAGATGCATTTAGCACGTGTCTCCACAGCTGAGACTGCCATTTCATGGGTAGTCTTGAATGGCTGTGGTGCTTTCCTCGGTTGGCCTTGTCATGCTTTGCAGGCCTTCCATCTCTCACGCATCAACTTCCACTGCTCACGTGGTGACAGGCAGGCATCTCTCCTGGTGGTTCAGGGGGCCCTGAGTTCCGGAGTGTGCTGGCCCCTCTCGCTGTGGGCACCCAGGCCCCACACTAGGGCATCCAAGGTCCTGGGCACAAGACCACAGGCAGTTCATGAGGAAGGTGGGTCTAGTGTCCTCTGCCTGGTTTCTGTTGCCCAGACATTGCCAGAGGAAGGGCATGGTCAGCTCAGCTGGTGGGTGAGAGAGGGGACAAGGGTGGAGCAGGAGCGTGTGCACTGAGCCAGGCAGCTGCTGGCCCCTCACACGGCCTGGGCCATTCTCTTACTTCCCTTGTCCCAGGGGCCCACCATGTGCACACTCCCCACTCCACACGCGGCTTCGTGGGCATGCGGGGTGGAAAGGAGGCAGAGGCCACAGAAGGCCTCTCGGCACCACATGCCCTCAAGCAGGAGGAACGAGAGATGTGTTCTCTTAGAAGAGAAGCAGCACATTTGGTCTTTCCAGCAGAGGCTGGCAGGGCACCTGTTCAGGACTGCTGGCCAGGGGAGGCTGAGACGGAGACAGCAAGCTGTTGCCTGTATCTGTTAGTGCTCTGTGTTGATGCCTTTCAGTGTCTCCAGCTCAGTCCATGTTGTGGTACTGCAAGGCCAGTACACTCCTCAAAGCGCCAGGGCGTGCAAGAAAGGCACAAGGCACAGAGTGCTGACGAGTTGGTCTTGTTTTATGTGTGTGTTTTGTACCTTGTCTTGACTGTTGGGAAGGCAAGCTCACGTGCAGACGCGTGTACTCACAGTGCCCTGCCCATGCAGGCCAGGTCGGCATAGCTCCGCCGGCCTCCACGTTCCAGCACCATGTGTGTGGCACAGGTGACACTCAGGAGAGGCCCCTGAAGTGAACTGAGCGAGTGGCTGGTGGAGGCCGAGCCTGCAGACGGCCTGGCTGACACAAGGTGTTGAACTGTGCCTGCTGGGGCTGGGCAGTATCAGTGCCAGCACCATTGCTCCCTCCTTCCCTCCCTTGCATAGGCCTCCCTGTTGCTTTGTAAGCTCTCAGGGGATGCAGGGGCTCTGTAATGCTAGGCACGGACTCAGCATGAAGTGTTGCCTCCCTTTCTCCTCACCTGCCACACAGAGAAGCAGGGTCCCGAGCGGAAGAGGATCAAGAAGGAGCCTGTTGCCCGCAAATCTGGGCTGCTATTTGGCATGGGGCTCTCTGGGATCCGGGCCGGCTACCCGCTCTCTGAGCGCCAGCAGGTGGCTCTCCTCATGCAGATGACGGCCGAAGAGTCTGCCAACAGCCCAGGTGAGCCAGGGACAGGGTGGTCCCTGGGGCTGGAGGGGCTGTCTCTGCTTGATTCCCTTTGCCTTGTGGAAACAAAACGTGAAGTTCTCGAGGCTTCCACCAAGCAGTGCCAGCCCTACTAATGCCCCACCTGTCCCCTCCTTGGCCCACAGTAGACACAACACCAAAGCACCCCTCCCAGTCCACAGTGTGTCAGAAGGGGACGCCTAACTCTGCCTCAAAAACCAAAGATAAAGTGAACAAGAGGAACGAGCGGGGGGAGACCCGCCTGCACCGGGCCGCGATCCGAGGAGATGCCCGGCGCATCAAGGAGCTCATCAGTGAGGGTGCGGACGTCAACGTCAAGGACTTTGCAGGTAAGCACCAGCCGCCTGAGCAGGTTTAGCAAGGTCTGGCGCAGTGCCGCAGTGGGAGGCGCAACACCCAGGAGTGCACCCTCCACTCCCCAGGTCCTGGGATGTATGACCTCGTGTGTGGGGTCATCGGCTGCTTCTGAGAGGGAGAAAGGAGTGTGTGGGTGGGTGTTTCTGTTTGTATTTACACTGCTGTGTTTACATCTGTCAGCCTTAGTCCCAGGCTCTTGGCGTTATCTGTCTTGTGTGTGTAGGAAGAAGCATTTGCCCAGCAGAGGGCACTGCTGTGCTGTGATTCTAGCTGAGTCTTCCTCTTGTAGCTGCTGAGGGGGACAGGTCACCCACCCTCCAACCTTGTGAGACTTATTCCAAGGGCACCCCCAGGAGGCACAGTCAGATGATGTTACCTTTGGGTGGGGGTTGAACTCGGGACCTTGTGCTTGCAAGGCAGGCAGTGGAACCACTGAGCTAAATCCCCAACCCTGATGTGTTACCTTTTAAATTAAGAGAAATGTGGGGTCCCCCCAGAACAGGGCCAGTATGGGCCAGGACCTTGGTTTTAGGGGCTCTGGGTAGAGTCCGTGCCGTTTTCCACCACTGCACCAACGTACACCCCGCACCCTCCAGAGCTGCTCCTGGAGCGGGGATGGAGGCATGAAACCACTGCCTGAGTTGGTAGTTGTCTGCTTTATTTTAAAGCAGTTCTTCCAGCCAGGCACCACTGCAGTGACCTATAGTCCCTGAGTTCTGGGAGGCTGAGGCAGAAGGATCAGAGTTTCAGCTTAGCCTGGGTGGTGTAGTGACCTAGCAAAATACTGTCTCAAAAAAAATTCTTTTTGTTGTTGTTTATCAAAAGGCCCTCATGGTGCAGCTCAGCACAGAAAGGCTCTAGTTCAGTCTCCAGTCTCTGGACACACCCCCACTCCCCCGTTACCCTGAATGGGGCCTTGCAGAGGCACTGACACTGTTCTTGCAGGTGGGCTGAGCGTGCTGCACACCAAAGGTGCGGGACCACGCTGACTGTCCCTGTACTCCAGATCCCCAGGCCTGAACCCATGCATGTCTAGAAGTGGCTGTTGCAGTAGGCAGCCCTACAGTCCATGTAAGAGCACTGTCAGGTAGAGCACAGTGGTGAACACTTGCAGCTCTTCTGCCTCAGCCTCTGGAGTAGCTGGGATTGCAAGTTCAAGACCAGGATGCGCAAGTTAGTGAGGCCCCATCTGTCTCAAAATCGAAAAATGAAAGGGGTTGGGGGTGCAGCTCAGTGGGAGAGCATTTGCCTGGTACATGTGAGGTCCTGGGGGGTTTCCCTGTTGCAAGCAGAAGGTTTCTGCCTTGAAGGCATTGACTGGCAAGCCGGGCAAGGCACTGTTGATGGTTCAGGTTATTGATCTGCAAGGAGTAAAGCCAGGTGTTGATTATGCAGACACCAGAGCAGGGGAGACGTAGGCCTCGTGGCCAGAGACGTCCCTCTGTGTGGGTTGACCACCCGTCCTTGTCATGTAGCACGTCCTCAGGAGTGAGGTCCTCAAGGATTAAATAACATATGTCCTAAGTGTCTGTTTCCAGGCTGGACAGCGCTGCATGAGGCCTGTAACCGAGGCTACTACGATGTAGCCAAGCAGCTGCTGGCTGCAGGTGCGGAGGTGAACACCAAGGGCCTGGATGATGACACGCCCTTGCACGATGCCGCCAACAACGGCCACTACAAGGTTGGCATCTTCCCACACCCCCACGCCTGCTCTGTCCTCTAACTTCGGGACCACCCTGCAGCTTCGTGTTTCTCTGTCCTAGTAGCCTTCCCACTTTCTGGGTATTGAGAAGTGAGTGTTTGCCTTGCCTCGAAGGCCCTGCCGTCCCGCTGTGCCCCCAGCTGCCCGCCCTGGATGGCACCTGGACAGCCTCCACAGTTCTAAAGGCAGCACCACTGTAACACGTCACAGGGTCCCCCTTCGACCACATGGGTCTGGCTGGACTTAGCAGGTGAACGATTGCACCCAAGAGGAAGGGTGGCCGTACTCACGCTGCTGGGTCCCGGTGGTTGTCACTGTCTGGCCTGGAAGGAAGAGGCACAGCCAGCACACAGGCTGGCACATTCAAGCAGAGCCTCCCTGGGAAAGGGCTGCCTCCAGGTCTGAAGCAGAGACAGGCTGCACCGTCCACCTCAACCTGCTGGAGAGCAGGACACAGATGTCAGGGTCCCCCAGAGAGGCCACAGACCGAGCAGTGTGCCACTCAACAGCAGTCCCTGCCTGGCCATGTTGGGAAGGTGTGTGGGAGTTGACAGTGCTGCAGGAAGCAGGGCTTGCTGTGGGAAGGGGCTCCAATGGGAGGGTTTCTGAGACAACCAGACAGATTGCTGAAACGCTAGTTACACATTTGATAAAGACTTATCCTCGTGTTTAGGGAAGGTTGTAGACATAATGGCTTGTTTTATTTTCTTTAATGGGTCTTGAGGCCTGAGAGGACTTGGCCTACATGGCTGGTCTTAGGGAAGGGCCACAGTCCAAGGAGGCTGGTTGCCTCCCTTCAGGGAGAAGGAACCTTGGTCCTACCCCACAAGGAGCCAGGTTCCACTCAGCCACAGGATGAGAGGAGGGGTCCCGGTCGGCGGGAGGGAGTCCTCTAGAATCCGAGGACCTGCATGGCATGACATCACAGCAGCAGAAACTCAGACCGATAAGTTGTGTGCTGGTAACAGAGCATAGTGCAGCACTATGAGTGACAAGCTTTGTCTCAGGCAGGATTGAAGTGGAGGAGAGAATTAGTGTTTGCTTTTGTTCAGCAAGTTGCTGTCCTGGACATATGAAACAGGTTGCTGATTATAAAAGATTGAACAGAGCTATATTGAAATGTCACCTGGAATGTTTAAAACTCATGTAAACGTCCTTATGCATGTAAAATCAAGCAAGGAAGAGGTCATTTTATTTTCTAATGTAAATGAAATTAAATAAACCAGCTTACAGAAACTTGGTCTTTGTTTCCTCTATTCTGTGCCCTGCTGTCCCCCAATAAAAGGTCCCTCTAAACTCTCAGAATCTGCACAACTACTCACAGTATCCACACCATTCTGGGCTTTGTGAGATGCCTCCTGGGCTACAGGTGGACAGGGAGAGGCGGGATGTCCCAGCGGAGGGCCAGCTGGCTGCCCCATCAGGCCTCGCCTCAGCTGCTGGGCTCCAGCTCTGCACATTTGTGCCTCAGGGCTGCTGGGGGGGCCACACTGGGACCCCTGTGTTGGGCTGCCATTTGCATGGGGAAGGCAGAGCGGTGTTCCTCAGCTCCCTGATACAGTCCTCCATGTTTTGTAGGTAGTGAAGCTGTTGTTACGGTATGGGGGGAATCCTCAGCAGAGCAACCGGAAAGGCGAGACCCCATTGAAAGTGGCCAATTCCCCTACGATGGTGAATCTGCTGTTAGGCAAAGGCACCTACACATCCAGTGAAGAGAGCTCCACTGGTAAGTGGTGTGGTGTGGGTGTTTTCTCCTGAGCCACAGGGCAGCCCTATGGCCACACAGGGTCTCCAACCTCCTTGGGGGCCTGGCACTTTCAGGGACCTGGCCCTGTCCTTGATGGGCCTCTCCGGGCTCCTTCCACCTGAGGTCGACCACAGGTGGGACCAGAGGAAGAGGAGTGCTGCTCCAGACACAGTGGCTTCCAGCCCACTTGTTGGGGACCCACAGCTGCAGAACTCCCTGTGCCTTCCGGGGAGCATTCTGCACCTGCCTGACCTCTCTCTTCCTGTCCCAACAGAGAGCTCTGAGGAGGAAGACGCCCCGTCATTCGCACCATCCAGCTCAGTCGATGGCAATAACACGGACTCTGAGTTTGAGAAAGGCCTGAAGCTCAAGGCCAAGAATCCAGAGCCACAGAAGACTGTGACCCCTGTCAAGGACGAGTATGAGTTTGACGAGGATGATGAGCAGGACAGGGTCCCCCCAGTGGACGACAAGCACTTGCTAAAGAAGGATTATAGGAAAGAGACTAAGTCAAACAGTTTTATTTCAATACCCAAAATGGAAGTTAAGAGTTACACTAAGAACAACACGATTGCACCAAAGAAAGCAGCCCATCGTATCCTGTCAGACACGTCCGACGAGGAGGACACTGGCCTCGCTGTCGGTGCTGGGGAGAAGCTGAGGCTGTCAGCACACTCTATGCTGCCCAGCAGCAAGGTACGGGAGCCGGCCAACTCCAGGCAGCAGAAAGAAAAAAGCAAAGTGAAGAAGAAGCGAAAGAAAGAGGCAAAAAGCAAAGAAGTTCGGTTTGGAAAGAGGAATGACAAGTTCTGTTCCTCCGAGTCAGAGAGCGAGTCCTCGGAGAGCGAGGAGGATGACGAGGACTCTGTGGGGAGCACAGGCTGCCTCAAGGGGTCTCCACTGGTGCTGAAGGACCCCTCCCTGTTCAGCTCACTGTCTGCCTCCTCCACCTCCTCCCACGGCAGTGCTGCGGCCCCAAAGCACGGCGCCAACCACAGTGACCAGCACACCAAGCACTGGCGCACAGACAACTGGAAAGCCATTTCCTCCCCAGCCTGGTCTGAGGTCAGCTCCCTGTCAGACTCCTCACGGACAGGACTGACGAGCGAGTCTGACTGCCCCTCCGAGGGCTCCAGCGTGGAGTCACTGAAGCCCACACGGAGGAAGCAGGAGCTCCGAAAGAGGGGCAGCCTGCCGAGTGTGCCACCGGAGAAGAGGGGCACCTGCCATCCCAGCACAGATGGCGCCGTCCCCAAGCTGGACAAGGAGGGGAAAGTTGTCAAAAAACACAAGACGAAACACAAACACAAAAGCAAGGAGAAGGGGCAGTGCTCCTTGAGCCAGGAACTTAAACTGAAAAGCTTTACGTACGAATATGAGGACTGCAAACAAAAGTCAGACAAGGCCATCCTCTTAGACAATGACATTTCCACAGAAAATAAGCTGAAAGTGCTGAAGCACGAGCGAGACCATTTTAAGAAAGAAGAGAAACTCAGCAAGCTAAAGTCAGAAGACAAGGAGTGGATCTTCAAAGACGAGATGCTGAAGGTCTCCAAAGAGGAGAAGTCGCTGAAGAGGGCCAAAGACCTCAGCAGGTCTTTCCGGGAAGAGAAGGACCGTCCCAGTAAAGTAGAGAGGGAGAAGGTTGTGAAGGAAAAGTCCCCCAGAGAGGAAAAGCTGAGGCTGTACAGAGAGGAGAAGAAGAAAAAATCCAAAGACCGGCCTTCGAAGTTAGAGAAGAAGAACGACATAAAAGAGGACCGGACTTGCAAGGAGAAACTCAAAAAGGAGAAAGGTTACAGAGACGATGCTGCGTTTGATGAATACTGCAGCAAAACCCAGTTTCTGGAGAATGAGGACACCAAATTCAGCCTTTCCGACGATCAGCAAGAGAGGTGGTTTTCTGACCTGTCCGATTCCTCCTTTGATTTCAAAGGCGAGGACAGCTGGGACTCCCCAGTGACGGACTACAGGGACATCAAGAGTGACTCTGTGGCCAAGCTCATCTTAGAGACGGTGAAGGAGGACAGTAAGGAGAAGAAGCGGGACAGCAGAGCCCGGGAGAAGCGGGACTTCAGAGACGCTTTCTTCCGGAAGAGAGACAGAGACCACCTGGACAGGAACTCTGAGAAGAGGAGAGACCAGGTAGAGAAGCACAAGGGCGTCCCCAGCTACCTCTCCGAGAAAGACAAGAGGAGGAGGGAGTCTGCCGAGAGCGGGCGGGATCGGAGGGAGGGCCTGGACGGCTCCCGGGAGCGCAAGGACGCGGCCCATCGGGAGGAGGGCCCGAAGGACTGTGGCTGCGAGAGCGCGTTCAGGGACAAGCCAGACCCGGACCTTCCCAAGGGCCTGGAGCCCTGGGAACGGCACCACGCCACGCGAGAGAAGGACAAGAAGGACGGCCTGGAGAAGGACAGGAAAGAGAAGATGCGGGCGGAGAAGCACAAGGACAAGTCACTGGACAGAGACAAGAGCGAGAAGTCTCTCCTTGAAAAATGTCAGAAAGACAAGGAATTTGACAAATGTTTTAAAGAAAAGAAAGAAGTGAAGGAAAAACACAAAGAATCCCACAGCAAAGACAGGAAAGCGTCCCTCGACCAAGCGAGAGAGAAGAAGGAGAAGGTGTTCCCTGGGCTTCTCTCAGAAGACTTCTCCGAAAAAAAAGATGAAAAAAGGAAAGAGAAGAGCTGGTACATCGCAGACATATTCACGGACGAAAGCGAAGATGAGAAAGATGACTACATGGCCAGCAGCTTCAAGGTTGGGGAGGCCGGGGATGCACAGAGAGGGGACGGCCTCCAGGACAAGGAAGACGGGAGAGAGTCCCATCTCTCGGACAGACACCGCAAGTCCTCCTCCGACCGGCAACACGCGGACAAACCCAGAGACAAGGAGCCCAAAGAGAAGAAGAAGGACAGAGTGGCTGTCGAAGGTGGGCGGGACAGGAAGGACAAGATCTCTGAGAAGCACCGGGAGAAGAAGGACAGGGAGTGTGCAGAGAGACACAAGGACAGGAGAGACAGGGCTGCAGTCGACTCTGCCCAAGAGAAGAAGAACAAACAGAAGCTCCCTGAGAAGGTGGAGAAGAAGCACTCCACGGAGGATAAGGCCAAGAGTAAGCACAAGGAGAAGCTGGAGAAGGAGCACTCCAAAGAGAGAAAGGCCTCTCGGGGCACCGAGGCAGAGAAGAGCCTGCTGGAGAAGCTGGAGGAGGAGGCACTGCACGAGTACCGGGAGGACTCCAACGACAAAGTCAGCGAGGTCTCATCGGACAGCTTCACAGACCGCGGCCCGGAGCCTGGCCTGAGCGCCCTCCTGGAGGTGTCCTTCTCAGAGCCGCCCGACGACAAGGCCAGAGAGAGCTGCCTCGCGGAGAAACTGAGGGAGAAGGAGAGGCACAGGCACTCCTCATCCTCCTCCAAGAAGAGCCACGACCGGGAGAGAGCCAAGAAGGAGAAGGCTGAGAAAAAGGCTGAGAAGGGCGAGGACTCCAAGGACGGTGGCAGCAGGAAGGACTCCAGCCAGTACGAGAAGGACTTCCTGGACGCAGAGGCCTACGGGGTCGCCTACACCGTGAAAGCCGACCTCGAAGAGGAGTTGGACAAGACCCTTGAAATATTTTCCTCTGAAAAGAAAGAGAGAAATGATCCCGAGAGAGAATCTTCCAAGAAAATAGAAAAGGAACTAAAGCCTTATGGATCTAGTACCCTCAGCATCCTGAAGGAGAAGAAAAAGAGAGAGAAACACAGGGAGAGGTGGAGAGACGAGAAGGAGAAACACCGGGAGAAGCACGCAGACGGGTTCCTCAGACACCACAAGGAGGAGCCAAAGCCCGCAGCCAAAGACAAGGACAACCCTTCAAACTCCTTCAGGGAGAAGTCCCGGGACGAAAGCCTGAGACTCGGTGAGGCCAAGCTGAAAGAGAAGCTCAAGGAGAGCACGGAGAGGGAAAGGGCCGACTCCGTGAAGATCGGCAATGGCAGCGACAGGCTACCACTGGCCAGAGACCTGGGCAAGAAGGACGCCCGGCCCCGGGAGAAGCTCCTGGGAGACGGCGACCTGATGATGACGAGCTTCGAGAGGATGCTGTCCCAGAAGGACCTGGAGGTCGAGGAGCGCCACAAGCGTCACAAGGAGCGCATGAAGCAGATGGAGAAGATGAGGCACAGGTCTGGGGACCCCAAGCTCAAGGACAAGACGAAGCCCACCGACGAGGGGCGCAAGAAGAGCCTGGACGTCCCTCCTAAGAAACCCTTGGGGCCAGACCCTCCCTCCAAGGAGAAGAGACTCAAGGACTCGGCTCCCACACCACCCGCCGCCGAGAGCAAGCTGGGGCCGGGGGCAGAGTGCAAAGACTGGCCGGCAGGGCCGCCCCTCAAGGAGGCCTCGCCTGCCTCCCCCAGGCCTGAGCAGGGCCGGCCCACCGGGGTGCCCACCCCCACCTCCGCGGTGCCGTGCCCCAGCTATGAGGAGGTGATGCACACGCCCAGGACACCGTCCTGCAGCGCCGACGACTACCCCGACCTCGTGTTCGATTGTGCCGACTCCCAGCACTCAATGCCTGTCTCTGCCACATCTGCCAGCACTTGCTCTCCACCGTTTTTTGATAGGTTCTCTGTGGCCTCCAGTGGGGTTTCAGATAACCCGGGCCAGACACCCACAAGGCCTGTCTGCACCAACCTGTACCGCTCCATCTCTGTGGACGTCAGGAGAACGCCCGAGGAGGAGTTCAGTGTTGGGGACAAGCTGTTTAGGCAGCAGAGTGTCCCTGCGGCCTCCAGCTTCGACTCCCCTGTGCAGCACCTGCTGGAAGACAAGGCCCCGCCACCACCTGTTCCCACAGAGAAGTTCACCTGCCTGTCCCCCGGGTACTACTCCCCCGACTACGGCATCCCCTCAGGCATCCCTTCACCCAAGGTGGACACTCTCCACTGCGCCCCTGCCTCCACGGTCAGCACCACACCCTCCCCTGAGGGCATCTTCTCCGCCTTACCAGCAAAAGCCTCTCCTCCCAGAGGTGAGCTGTTAGCCCCAGCTGTGGAGGGGGCCCTTCCCCCGGACCTGTGCCTCCCTCTGGATGCCACAGAGGACCAGCAGGCCACAGCCGCCATCATCCCCCCAGAGCCCAGCTACCTGGAACCCTTGGATGAGGGCCCCTTCAGCACTGTCATCACCGAGGAGCCTGTGGAATGGGCACACCCCATGGCTGAGCAGGCCCTTTCTTCCTCCTTGGTCACCGGTGCCTCCGATAACCCTGTCAGCTGGCCTGTGGGCACCGACCTCCTGCTGAAGTCCCCCCAGACGTTCCCAGAGTCCCCAAAACATTACTGCCCTGCTGAGTCCCTCCACACTGCCACCCCAGGGCCCTTCGGTGCTGCAGAGGCCCCGTACCCCGCCTCTCCTGTCTCTTACCCTCTGCCAGCCGCCGAGCCAGACCTGGAGGGAGTCAAAGACGACGGGGTGGGAGCTATCGCTGTCACCATCTCCACCACCACCGAGGGAGCCACCCCTTACACCACCCCTGCCAGGCTCGAGTCCTTCTTTGGCAGCTGCAAGCCACTCCCAGAGGCACCCCTTGACCAGGTACCTGAGCCCACGTGTGTCTCCACGGTGGCCCAGGTAGAGGCCCTCGGAGCCCTGGAAACCAGCTTCTTGGACAGTGGTCATAGCCTGGCTGCCCTTGGCCAGGTGGAGCCCGTGCCCTGGCACGATGCCTTCACCAGCGCCGAGGACGACCTAGATCTAGGACCCTTCTCACTGCCAGAGCTCCCTCTGCAGCCCAAGGATCCCCCAGATGTTGGAATGGAGCCTGCAGAAGGAAGCCCCGTTCCCCCGGGAGAGGCTCTCCCTGTCCCCCCTGGGGTCAGCAGTGAGGGAGATGGCCTTGTGGCCGTGGCCGAGGGTCAGCCCGCACCACCTCCCGAGCAGGCTGGCCCCCGACTCCCTGCCGAGCTCGAGCCCTCAGAGGAGCCGAAGCTGGATGTGGTTCTGGAAGCCACCGTGGAAGCAGAGGCGGTGGTGGACGAGCAGGCCCCTGAGGACCTGGATTCCAGCTCAGTTCCTCTGCCCACCACCCCAGAACAGCATCCCCTGGAGGGCGGAGATGAGGTCGGGGCTGAAGACCCTGCGGCTGCTCCCCACTGCACCTCTGGCGGCCCGCCCCAGGACATCCCTCCACAGGCCCAGGATGATTCAGAGGCCCCCTCGGCTGCCACTCCAGCCGAGGGGCCTCCGGCCAGCGTGCAGCCAGAAGCTGCAGAGCCAGAGCCCAGGCCTGCGGCCGAAGCCCCCAAGGCCCCCCGGGTGGAGGAGGTGGTTCCTCAGCGCATGACCAGGACCCGGGCCCAGATGCTGGCCAGTCAGAGCAAGCAGGGCCCGCCACCTGCAGAGAAGGAGCCTGCACCTGCGCCCACGTCAGCCTCCCGAACTAAGGCCCGCGCCCTCGAGGAGGACGACGCCCAGGCCCAGCACCCGCGCAAGCGCCGCTTTCAGCGCTCCAGCCAGCAGATACAGCAGCAGCTGCACACGTCCACGCAGCAGACACGGGAGGTCATCCAGCAGACACTGGCCGCCATCGTGGACGCTATCAAGCTGGACGACATTGAGCCCTATCACAGTGACAGATCCAATCCCTACTTTGAGTACCTTCAGATCAGAAAGAAGATCGAAGAGAAGCGCAAGATCCTCTGCTACATCACACCGCAGGCCCCACAGTGCTACGCTGAGTACGTCACCTACACGGGGTCCTACCTCTTAGACGGCAAGCCACTCAGCAAACTCCACATCCCCGTGGTGAGTGTGGTTCCCAGGAGTCTGCGGACAAGAGGAAACGCGGTGCTGCGTACGGGGTTCTGGGCCCTGGCACTCTTTGCGGTCATGAGTCAGGATCAGCACTTGCACAGTCGGCAGAGAGCATAGCCCCTGATCCCATACCCCAGCCCCTTGGGTCTACTTCCTCCCCTGGGGGCGCCTGCACGGCACCCCACACACACAGTGAAACGCGACTGCAGGCTTGCGCCCCACCTCATGGCCACCCTGCACTCCTGAGTGTCCTGGACTTGTGGGTCGTGCACTTTTATTTTTGCACCTGGGATCAAACGTAAGTGCTTGTGCTTGCAAGGAAGGCAGCAGAGTCACTGAGCTAAATCCCCAGCCCTGGGCATGCACTCTTCTTTCTTGCCCCTTTTGGGCTTTTAGGATGGCAGCCACTGCTACTCCACCCATCCTGGCCTCGGTCTCCAGCCAGGGGCTGTGGAGCACAGAGTTCCCTGGGCCTTCTGTGGCCTCCATCCGCTCCCCCAGAAAGGATGCGCTGTCCCTCCTGCCACATGCACACACGTTGACTCGGCCCTGGAGGGGAACAAGGCTTTCTGGCAGTCCTGCTGCTTTGGCAGGACAGGCTGTTTGTCCTGGAGCCTGGACCCTCTGCCTGCTGGCTGCTCGGCACACCGTGTGGGCGGAGAGGACGGTGCTGCAGCATCTGCTCTGCCCTTTCCCTTTTGAGAGGTGTCCTGGGCCTGCTCCTCCCTAAGGCAGGGTAGCCCTGCTGCGCCCTGCCCATGAGAGGCTGGGCTTTGCCCACAGGCCACATGGGAAACCTAAGGATGTGTCCAGCCTGAGCCCAGCAGGCACTCCAGGTGCCTTGACCACAGGATCTGGGCTCAGACCAAGGTGTGGTTCATCGCATTCAAAAACCTGGCTAAGATTTCCAGTCTGTAGAACTTTTCATACTCCCTGCTGCTTTCTCTTATCTAACTTTTCACTGTCAAAGTAGAGAAAACTAATCACTGTACCTCTCCCACATAGCTAGCCCTTGCCATGTCTGTGTGAATCAGGCCCCTCAGCGACTGCCGGGCTCCTGAGCAAACTAGTGGACTCGGAACCATAAGGCTTCCTCCCCCTTCCCTCTCTCCCCTTCTCCCCCTCGCTCCCCACCCCTCCTTGCCAGTTTTAGTTTTGAACTGACTTTAGACTAGCCAGAGAGTTTAGAGTGCAGAGCAGCAGTTTAGTTTCCAGGGGCTTCCTAGTGCCTGTGGGTGGCAAGGTGGGTCTGGGCACCCATTGTGGGCAAGGTCCCAGGAGTGTGCATCAGGGCACCTCATGGGTACTGAGTGAGGGCTCACCTAACTGGTGAGCAGCCCACACTCAGCACGCGGGGTCCTGGGGCAGGTGCTGACAGTCGGCTCCCCTGGGAAGCGACTGTCTCTTCCTCTGCACCTGGTGCGTGAGCCCTGTGCACGTCCCTCCCCTCCAGCAGCTCTGTTATTGTTTAGGGTACAGGCTGCCCAAGCGCTGCCCACCAAGTGTCCTGTCCCATCATGAGCTGCTCTGCTATCACCTTCGGGGCACAGTGGCAGCCCTGGGTGCACCTGCTCCTCCCTGCCACCTTTCCCATATGTGGTGTCCCCACTCCACAGAGGGATGTCCCGCAGCTGGAGGGAGACCGTGCCCCAGCCGCAGCCTCAAGAGCCTCTTCTGTGGGATGTGGGCCGACTGGCTTCCCCTACCTGCATCAGACCACTGGGCCTAGGTGCTGGTGCCGTGCTTTGTTCTGTGCGGGGCTGTCCGGCGGTGGTGTAGGCAGGTGCTCTGTTCTCTGCTGTTCCCCTCACGTGCCGCCGTCTTGTGGCCTGGGGACAGCGTGCGTCCCAGGGGGCTGCTGGGCAGGTGCACCCCATGGCCCAGCTGACCTCTCACCTCGGCCCGCAGATTGCGCCCCCACCCTCCCTGGCGGAGCCCCTGAAGGAGCTCTTCAAGCAGCAGGAAGCTGTGCGGGGGAAGCTGCGTCTGCAGCACAGCATTGAGCGGGTAAGACGAGGCCTGGGCACCCGGGGCCTGGTCACCTGGTGCCCAGCTCACCCCATGCCTCTGCCCCCAGGAGAAGCTGATAGTGTCCTGTGAGCAGGAGATCCTGCGGGTCCACTGCCGGGCAGCCCGGACCATCGCCAATCAGGCGGTGCCCTTCAGCGCCTGCACGATGCTGTTGGACTCTGAAGTCTACAACATGCCTCTGGAGAGCCAGGTGGGTGCAGCCCTTCACCCAGGGCCTTCCCCGCACGCCCTCTACCCTGAGCCGTTACAGCTACAGCCTGCTGTGCACAGCACACCACACGCCTGGAGGGTCACCTGTCTGCCTGCAGCCACAGGAAGGTAGGCCACGTGCACCGCCCCGAAGGGAACCCAGCTGCCCTTCCTCCCCTTTATGGGGGCAGGTGCACCTCTTTTCTATTCAAACTAATTGAGGAGCAGTGCGGCTGGCACACTGGTGGCCCTGGGTGGCAGGTGACAGGTGGCATCTGGCCAGGGGCTGACCTCATCCAGGTGACTGAGGCTTCTTCCCTGTGGGAACCAGGGCAGATGTGCAGCAGGCTGGAGCTGCAGGGCCCAGAGTCTACTGTCCATGCAATGAATGTCCTCTACCAAGCCTTGCTTTCGCTGCCAGGAATGCCCAGCCTTGGGAGCTCGTGTGGCTATGGCACAGAGTGTGGGGTGCGGTTCCACACATGCCCTGCCCTGCCTTAGCTGTCCAGGGCCGTCTGAGCCTTGGAGTTGCAGGGTTTGCTTTTAAAGACCTTCCACTCTGAGGGTGTGGACACTTTACCCATCTCACATTCTACACATAACTGCAGGTTCTCAATAAAGCAAAGCATTTGTCACTGTGATTATTTTAAGGGTTAGTTGTTGGAAGTTTTGCTTTTTGCATCTGAAAGAAAACCATGAAATTTTAGTAATTCTCATGGGTTGCTTTTGAAAGTTAGAGAAGAGAGTATCTCAGGTCGTGACCTCTTCTGTAAGCACCCTGAGATAGGCCTGACCTTCCACGCCCAGAAATGAGGACTAGGCACATGGTTCGCACTGCCCGGGGTGTGTCGGGAAGACCCCCACAGACCAAGTCTGCAGCCCGTTCTCTGCTCCGGGCTCATCCTCCTCCAAGAGCGTCTCTGAAGCCCTGGCATTGCCTCCAAACCAGGCCGGTACATTGTGGGCGAGATTGGGCAAGGAAACCGGCATCATAGGCTATAAAGATGGATAGGGCCAGCCAGTCTCAGGCCTCTCACACACCCTCTTCCAAGAGCAACAGTTACTCTCAGCTTGTGAAAAGGGCATTGAAACATCACCAGGAACCAGCGGACATGGATATGAGGGTCCCAGGGCCCTTGGTCCACCCTCCCTGTGCCCAGCAGCAGCCTCCTGGGGGAGAAGGAGGGTCCTTCCCCTGAGCCTTGGGTTCGCTTGCTGGCTCCTTGGGTAAGGTCTCGGCTTCCTGGCCCCTTTCGTCCTGAGCTGCATGCCTCTTTGCCCAGGGGGATGAGAACAAGTCGGTGCGAGATCGCTTCAATGCCCGCCAGTTCATCTCCTGGCTACAGGACGTGGATGACAAATACGACCGCATGAAGGTGAGAGCTGTGTGCTTTTGGGGAGCCAGCGGCTCCAGCCTCTCCCCATTGCCTCCTTGCGGTGCCTTCCCTGGTGTGCAGCTCCTGTCGCCAGTTGAACAGGACCTGGGCCCTGCTCAGAGGACACAGCATACCCTGTGTGCTTCACGGATGTGCTGCCAGGGCAGCGGGAAGGAGGGAGGACAGCAAGAAAGCAGCCGCTCCATCGCAGCTGCCAGTCTGTGTGCTCGGGTCCCTGCAAGTCTGAAACATTGAAAGTACTGACTGGCCAGGTACACAGGACAGGGCCTCTGTCTCCCCTCATACACGGTCGCCCAGGGTGCTGTTCTCCTTGCTCAGAGTGCAGCGGCCCAGGCCGTCCAGATCCCCCCTGCAGTCCGCAGCATCAGCTGAAGCCAAGCAGCCGGCATTGAGCGCACGCAGCTGCACACATGCTCTATGGCCCGGGATGTGCAGGCAGGCGGGCCTGCTCCCCTCCCTGTCCCAGCTGAGAGACCCAGGGAAGACGTCACTGTGTAAGACAAACGGCTTGTTACGAGCATGTTAAAATAGCGGGCTTACACATTTAAACAACTTTTGATTATGTGAAAAGAAGTCTTAGAAACTAAGAAGAAAAAAGGTAGACCAAAAAAAGTACATGAAGGAGCACTCCAGGATAAAGGAAGCGAAATGGCCAAAGCCTTTCTATTTTGATTAGTCTGTGTTTGTAGTACCTAATGATTATGCTTTTATTTTGCTCTTTATACTTTGGGTTTCTCGCATTAAAGAGAAAATGCAGCGTGTGTTTATGTCTTGGCTTACAGTGCACCCATTTTCCTACATGACTCAGGTTTATCCTTCATGGCAGAGTAGGACTCGCGGGTGTAAACACCACACTTTATCCATTTATCTGTTGGTGGACATACAGTATAAGCTGCTTCCAGGATTCAGCTCTGATGATTTTTTTTTGCTGTAAACATGGATATACATGGACCGCTGTAACATTCTATCTTACCTCCTTGAGGAAGATACCTAGGAGAAGAGCTGGATGGAATAGAATTTCCAGTTTTAGTTTTTGAAGAATCTAAATGTTTTTCCCATTCTGTAGCTGCTCTCTTCGGTAGGTTGTCCCATTAGTTAATTCTTGGCACTATTTCTTGTGCTTCTGGGTTCTGTTCAGAAAAGTCTTCCCTACACCTATGTCTTAAAGAGTTTCACCTATTTTATCTTCCCACAGATAAAATACTTCTGTTTAACATGAAGACTAATCCATTTTGATTTTGTTTTTGAGTCTAGACTTAATCTTCAGAGTGTGGAAAGCCAGTTTGCCCTGCACTGTTAGCAAAGAACCCGTCTTTCCTCCAGTGTGTTTTTGGCCCCTTTCTCAAAGATCTGGCAGCTGAATATGCCTGGAGTTGTTTCTCTGTCCTCTGCTCTGTTTCCTTGATCCACATGCCTGTTTTTGTGCCAGTACCATGCTGTTTTTAATCACTGTAGCTTTGTAATGTAACTTGAAGTTCGGGGTTATACAATTACTTTTGCTATTCTGGTCCTCTTCTGGTTTCATATGAATTTTAGGATTATTTTCTTAGTTCTGTGTGGAATGCAGTTGATACGTTGGGATTGCATTAAATGTTTTACCAATTTTGGAAGTATCTCCATTTTGACTATATTGGTTTTGCCTGTCCAAGAACAAGGGATGCCTTTCCATTTTCTGAGATCTTGTTTGATCTCCTTTTTCAGAGTACAGTGAGTCCTGGACTTAAGAACATCTGAGTTGTGAACTTTCACAGGTGTACTGTATAAGACTGTCAGCTTATGAATGAATTCAACTTACAAACAAGTCTCTTGGCATGGAACTTGTTCATGAGCCAGGGACTTGATATAATATAATTTTTGTTGGAGGTGTTTCAGTTTCTTGGATAGATCAATTCCTATTTAATTTTTCTTGATGCTATTTTTGTTGTTTTGTTTTTGGGGGTTTGTTTTTTTGTTTTACTGGGGATCAAACTCGGGTCCTTGTGCTTGTGAGGCAGGCAGCAGACTCACTGAGCTAAATGCCCGGTGCTTATTCTTTGTTTTTGAAGCGAGGTCTCACTTTCTCATGCAGGCTGGCCTTGAACTCTGATTCTCCTGCCTCAGTCTCCCAAGTGCTGGGATTACAGGCATGTGCCACCAAACTTAACGTTATTGTGAATAGTGTTATTTTCCTAGTTTCTTTATTGGTAAGTTAATTATTGGTGTACAGGAGTGCTATTGTCTTTGCTATATGTTTTGTATCCTGCTACATGGCTAAATTTGGTTATTGATTCTAGGAGTCCTTTGGTGGAATTTTTTGGGTCTTCTATGTAGAGGATCACATCAGCTGCAAATAATGATACTTTAACTCTATCCTTTCTCATATGTGTACTTTTTATTCCTTTCTCTTTCTTGCCTGATTGCTCTATCTAATGTTTCGAGCAACTGCAGTCCTGGACATCCTTGTCCCGATCCTGGTTTTAGAGGGAAAGCTCTCAATTTTTCACCATTTAACGTGATGTTAGCAGTAGGCTTGTGATAGCTTTTATCAGGCTAAGTCCTTCTGTTCTTTTCCTTTAGGGTCTTTGTCATGAATGAGTGCTGGACTGCATCTGTGGCCATGATGGTGTGTTGTCCTTGCTGCTCTCTGTGGGCTGTGCCACTCGTATTGCTTTGTGTGCTTTGGACCGTCCGTCCCTGGGAGGAAGCAGGCCTGCCTACTTGGTCCCGGTGTACGATCTTGTTGATGATTTGTTGCCTTCTGTTTGCCAGTATCTTGCTCAGGATTTTTGATGGAGAGATTAAAAATGGCCACGTGTTAATGAAATGGTGATCGTTGTGATGATTAACTTCAGAATCGCAAATCATTATGGCGTCCCCTTTGAAAGACGCGTGCCAGTGTGGGGGGCCCACAGTCATCCTGCCTAATGAAAGAAGTGTCAGCTGATAGACTGAGAGAGAAATCAGTTTGCTGAACAAGGATCTAGCAGTCTCGTTTTGGTGACTTAGAACTGAGATGTTAGGCATTGAGCGCGGCCCTGTGCCTGCCTCGTCCAAACCTCAGGGAGCATGGCGGCTCCCTGGCCACCTGTGAATCTCCTCACTGGTGCCCTGAATACACCGCCACCCGGGCCTGAGTGCGTGCCTAAAGAACTCAGAGCTGCAGCTGCTGCAGAACTTCAGCAGTGAGGGCACAGCTGCTGCCGGCTTCTAGTCAGATGCCTGGCATGACTGCAGAGCCGGGAGGGGTGCCTCTCCCCTCCCTGCGCCTGACACAGTCCCCAGCCGGTCCGGGCCACAGGCAGCTGGCGGTGGGGCCCTCGGCCCTGGTGGGTTTGCAGCTCTCAAGCCCTCGCCCTGCTGCCCTGGGAGGAGGGTGGGCCGGGCCGGGCTGCGTGCTCACCCCGTGTGTCCCGCAGACGTGTCTCCTGATGCGGCAGCAGCACGAGGCGGCGGCCCTCAACGCCGTGCAGAGGATGGAGTGGCAGCTGAAGGCGCAGGAGCTGGACCCTGCCGGGCACAAGTCCCTGTGCGTGAACGAGGTGCCCTCCTTCTACGTGCCCATGGTTGACGTCAACGACGATTTTGTGCTGCTGCCAGCGTGACACCCACAGGAGGGCCGTAGGACAGGCGAGGGCCACTCAGTCGCCAGTGCTGCCAATGAGTCCCAGCGGTGGAGGACGAGAGGAGCGCACCGCCAGGTGGGAGGAGCGAGACTGCACCTGGCCCGGGCCTCCCCTTCCAGACTGGCTGGAGGCTAGGGAGATGGAGCTCGTCCCTTTACCAGCTGCTGCAGGAGCACTAGGCCCGGCACCGCAGCCTGCCGCCCGGCAGGAAGAGGAGACCGAGGTGTGAGGGGCCGGCGGCTCCGCTCCGTCTTGGAGAACGGCGCCCAAGAGTGGCCGCAGGACAGAGCGCTTCAGATCCTCGTTCATTCTGGTCATCTGGAGGACGTGAACCACGGAGTCACCCCCTCCAGGTCCCCCTGGAGTGACTTCCAGGTCAGAGGCAGGACAGCACCATCTTGGCCCCACCCTCGGGGCAGACGGGGACGCTGAGGACCCTGGTGTGGTGAGGGCCCGGCCGCCACCTGTCTGGCGGCAGAGGGATGCAGCCAGGACTCTCCAACAGTGTTTTTAATGGAGTCAAATCCACGTGGTTTGTATATTTTTTCCTTTAATCTTGGGCATTTTGTTTCTCTTTCTGAGAACGTAACTTGAAACACTACAGAGCCAATAATCCTATACAGAGTGTATCCGCGGACGCTGTACAGTTTTATATACCTTCACAATGTACTTTGCTGCCTTCTAGATAATTTATTTTGCAACACATTACTGCACAGTTGTAAATAACTTATGTACTGTAACATCACTTTCAGTTATGTGTAAAGAAATAAATAAATTAATTAAAATGCTCTTTGTACATAATACACACACAGCTCACGTGGGCAGCACTTCCTTCCCAGGAGGGTGAAACCTGTGTCTTACGCTTTTTTTTTTCCTTCCAGCAGCAAACCATGGCCTCCTTCTGTAAGGCTGTTGGCTCTTCCTTGTGCCCCAGACCCCATGCCAGCAGGGAACTGCAGGTGCGGTAGCCCTCCTGTGGCCCAGGGGCAGAGGCCAGGCCTGCTCACACCCTCCGGAGACCCATCCCGCCTGTCCAGAACAGTGGGGCTCCAGCCATCAAGTATCCTGTGGAGGCTGCAGGTCTGGAGGTCCCCTGGGCAGTGGCAGGGTAGTGGCCCCTTGTCTTTGGGGAGGAGGGACTTCAGAATCGGCCCCACAGGAGAGCAGATCCTCTCTGTCCCCAAAACTCCCGGCCCCTCACTGGCCGCCTGTGTCCTCCTCCAGTGCAGGTCACACAGTACTCACGCAGGGCCTCTCTGTTCTCACTGTGGTTCTTCACCATGCCGAGGAGGGTGGGGGCCAGCACAGCTGTTGTGTCCTTTTCTAGCCTTGAGTTGTGGCTCTTTCCTGAACCACAGAACTTTATGCTGAACACTTACTTTAAGCCCTTTTTCTCCTTTTAAAAATGCCTGAGTTATTCAGTGCAGGAGGTTTCAGCGGCAAGGGAAGCCCATGATGGTAGAGGTCACAGCCCTCTGGCCCACGTGTATGGCTCCCACACAGCTCTGCCCTGGTCTGCTACACTAGACAGACGACAGACACCCTGGCCACAATGCCCACAGACGCCGAAGCACGTGCTCTCCCAGTCTGGCCACACGTGCTGCAAGGGTACCGATGTGCCAGGCCTGCCTGGGACTCAAGGCCTTGAGAGGCTGAGCGCCTCAACCAGTGTCATAGCCAGCTGAGAGGTGCAGAGGCAGGGGACAGGCGAAGAGTCGGGGACGGTGTGGGGGCAAGTGACGAGGGTCTGCCTGCTGCCAGAGGGAACCTGAAGTAGGCAGGGAGTATTCAAGAAAAGCCCGGGTGCTGAGGCAGGGATGGTAGGGGACTTCAGGGTCCAGTTCCAACAGCATCTCCACCCAGGACTTCTGTCCAGGAGGTAGCTAGAGCCTGGGCAAGGGCTGTCCCTCAGCCAGAGGACCCGGCAGGGAGACCAGACCTGTTCAGGCTGAGAGGTACCCATGTCTCCCTCCCTGTGGCATGGGGAGGACCGGAGAGCAGAGTGAAACCCAGGCCAGAGCAAGGAGCCGTGCAGGATGGCAGGAGGACGGCCTTTCCTCCACAGCAGCTTCTCCTTGGTTGCTGGCTTCATGGCAGAGCCCCCTGCCCGGCTCTGCCCTGCTCACAGGGTCTGCGAACTGCGGACCCAGCAAGGAGAACGAACAGCCCACGAGGGTGAGGGTGTGGGTGGGGAGGAGAGGAGTTACCTCAGCCTCTGCAGGCTAGCACTGCCGGGCCCTGACCTGACCTGTCATGATCAGCAAGAGTACATGTATTTCAGGCTTGTTTTGTTACACTTCCGTTATCAAAGCCCTGTTTTTATTGTTTCAAAGAATGGAAGGCATTTCCACTTTTTCCAGAAAGAATAGTTCGCACCTTGATGCAGTCGCCAAGTTAGAATGACAGCCAGAGGTATGTACCTGTTTAAGTCTCCAAAACAAGAGAAATAAATAGGTTGTAAATGACAAATTCAAAGCAAAACCTCCAAGGAGATAACCTGAGGCACATCAGTTTAATAGAAAATGAGGACTTAAGAACTGCTGAGTGCATAGCTCCAGAAACTCCATCCAGGCCGGGGAGGCTGTCGCCTTCACCGCCTCAGCGCGCGAGGTGCTGTGTCTCCACTCGCTCTCCTGTATTGTGCCCTGGAGAACCAGGTGCTGCCCAGACAGCCATCATTGGCCCCGCGGCTCCCCAGGAAAGCCCTTTCCACAGCACTGTCCAGGGACAGCCAGCAGCAGCTGCTGGACATGACAGCTTCTGGCCTGAGACCAGTCCGGCAGGTGAACTGACTAGGCAGGAAGCTTGGGACCAGACGCCTCTCCAGAGACCACAAAAACTCCAGGGCAGAGGAGGAGTACATGCCCGTGAGGAAACTGACGGTGCTCCATGCGCACACCTTGTGCCGGTGACAGGTCCATGCCAGCAGAGATACATGCAGGTCAGGGGCACTAACCACGCTGTCCAGCCTGCACCCAATGCTGGGACCCCACATGTCAGTGTTCACGTGTATAGCTATGAACCAGACCAAGCAAGCAGAAATAGTGACTGCAAGCCAGGAAAGCCACCTACCACACACCTTGGCCGAGGAAGCCCAGATGCGCAGCTCACCAGGCAGGACTCAACTGGCTTTTACCATGCCTGTCTGAAGAATTATGGGACAAGCTGGGCATGGTGGAGCACGTCGGCAGCCCCAGCTACTCAGGTGGCTCGTGCAAGAGGATCCAGCCTGGACAACTTAGCAATAGCCTATTTCAAAATATAAAAAAACAAATAGGCTGGATGTGATGGCGCACACCTGTAATCCCAGCACTTAGGAAGCTGAGGCAGGAGGATCACCATACGTTCAAGGCCAGCCTGAGGTACATTGCAAGACTGTCTCCAAAAGATACAAGACAAAACAAGAGGGTCCAACGGTTGTACCTCAGTTGTAGAATGTTTGCCTAGCATATGGGAGGCCTGGATTCAATCTCCAGTACCACAACAACAACAACAAAATGGTGTCTTACAATGCAGAGGAAAATGAGACATGATTATAAAGAAGCAAATGAAAATTTTGTTAGTGTAAAGTAAAATAATTGAACTTGAGGTAGTAGAAGAATCAGCAAACTGAAAGCTCATTTCCACTGATCAGATTTGAGGTCCAGGAGGAAAAGAGCAAGAGAGAGCTGTGCTCCAGGTGCTGCCAGGGTCCTGGGAGGAGGGGGGCAAAACTATCTGAGGAAATCATGGTCAAAAGTTTCCCAAATTCGTGGTGGCATATGCTGTAATCCCAGCACTCAGGAGGCTGAGGCAGGAGGATTGCAGTGAGTTCAGGGCCAGCCTGAACTACAAAGGGAGACCCTGCCTCAAAATACAACAACAAAAAGTTGCCCAAATTTAATGAACAATGGAAGCAGGATAAACTGAAAGCCACACTTAGATACACCACAATCAAGTGTCGATGCAAAAGATTGGGCAACAGTGAAGGCAGCACAGCCTGCAGGAGCCGCAGACGGTCTGAGGCTGGCGCTGGCTGCCCAGAGTGCTGGGGCTGCACCAACTGCCACCCTGGCACAGCGCCTGTGAATGTGAGGGTGGCGAAATGGCTGGGCAGGCAGTGCTGGACGAGCAGGGGAGCACAAGACAAGATGAGGACATGTTTGTCTTAACTCGTTCCATCTGCTGTTACCTGAGCACAGGAGCGGAGCGTGCGGAGCGAAGGCTGTGCACACTGCTGGTCGCCACTGCTGCCCCGCGCCGGGCTGCTTCAGGTCAGGTGTTCACTGGACTCTGCCTCGGTCGCTTTCCTGTCCCTGGACAAAAGTACCCAGCGTCCAGAACTGAAGGACAGCGTCCGTGCTGTTCCAGTCCCTGCTCGAGCTGTATGGTGGCAGGGCAGGGGCAGAGGAGAGCCGATCCTCCCACAGCAGCCAGGAGCAGTTAGAAGGGAGGAGCCTGGGGGAGAAGTGCGCCCACCCTTCCAGGTCGCGCCTAACTCCTGAGCGAGTGCAGCACCCCTGTGACCCGGTCACCTTCCCCACAGGAGAATTTGGGGGACGGTTTAGATCGGAACCTTAATCTCAACAGCAACCAGTTTTCAAACAAAATAGCTCAAGACAGAGTAAAATGATTTATACAAAAAGCAAGAATGGAGAGTTGGGAAAAGATGTGCAACATTTTTTTTTAAATGGCAGAGATTCTTAAGTGAATGGATTAAAGTCTCCATTAAAAAGTAAGAGGTTCTAGGGGCTGGGGATTTAACTCAGTGGTGCCACTGCCTGCCTCACAAGCACAAGGTTCCCGAGTTCAATCCCTGGTACTAAAAAAAAAAAAAAAA